TAAATATATTTGCTTTTTGATAACACCTATTTTTCTCAATGTTATTTTAAACTGTCTTCTTTTTAACTGTTTTAATACTTTTGTTGAATATTGTTATATACTAACAGTTTATATCTTTTGAGTAGAAATGTTATTTTTGATAAGAAGATCCATGCTTGGTTCCCTTTTTTCTATATTTCTATTATATCTTTTAAGCTGGTTATTATTCCTTTTTACAATCCTTTTTTGTTTTATAATTCAGTTCAATCTTTTCTTCATTACATGCATATAACAGCGTTAGGTATCTCACTAAGAACGTATGTATTTAACACAGGCAAAACTAATCTTTTTTGTTTCTGCGAAACGCGCGAAACGAAAAAGATTATAGTTTTGTTGTATATTACGTTGATTTTACGCGGAGTTATAATATTTCAAAAATTTAACACGCGCGCAACCTTCATGAAAGAACGTTTGCGTATATACAAATGTGCATGTGACAGATATCTTAATACGTTACTAAAAAAAAAAGTGTAAACAAGTGTGAAAATGTAGTATATGCGCTTTGAAACACAATACGCCGTCGTACACATATACTGGCTGATTCCGTCTCAGACAGTGATTAGAATTGATAAAATCGCTAATATCTTCGCATATATTACAAAAAATTCGTCACTCACCAACCGATGCGCAACAGGCGGAGTTGTTCAGCCACATATAGCTATGATGATTCTTCTGTAACACAAAAATGAAAGATTCAAATTAAAGAGACGCTCAAAATGATTAATGTTTCAAAAAATAATTTTTACGCGTGTCTAATTTGCCTTTTAATTAGATATTTACCAATATAATTATATATGTTTCGGGAAAAATCTTTACGAAAATAAACTTTTATAAAATTTTAGATGATTTTTTCCCCTCTAATTATTTCTATAACTTATCTGAGATAAAACGACTCGAATAAATGGGTAAGAGTACTATTAATTTTTAGATGAGAAATAATACTCACCCCAAGGTTGCTCCGCCGGGGCCCGATGCCTTTGCCAGGCCTCCTCCTCCTCTCAGGACGGGCTTGTCAGGCCTCTTCCTTCTCCTCCTCGTCTCTCATTGCGCAGGCCACTCGCAGGACACTCACTGTCCAATATTTTGCGATCGAGAATCATAATACGATCGCGACACTTTATTAGACACTCCCGAGATGAAACAATCGACGTCACTACGGCGCACTTTCACACCGAGCGCTGACCGTTGATCGAGCTGCTTTCACCGCTGAACGCAGCCAACTTCATACCGACGCCGCGCGACGCCGCGCGGATACAACGCGAGTCGAATCAACGGCCGAATTGAAACGAGCGCGAACCGTTCGAAAATATACGCTTGTAATACACGCTTATGATATAAATTACATGTTATTTAGATCTTTTCATATCTAATTATGTATTTTTACATCTTACCATATAATATTCACTTTTTTTTTCACGGAAAGTTAGAAAATTGGCGAAAATTAAAGGGTATAAAATAATATTCAAAAATCAAAAAGCAATGGAAAATTAGTAACAATTTGGAAATATAAAAATTTTATGACGAAATTTGAAGTGTCACGCGAAATCGAATTCATGCGTTTTTAATAGAATAATAATTATTGCTCCTGAATGTCGCATGAGTAAATTATAATTTTTATTTCCTATTGATTTCTTTAATTTTTGTTTCTAAGTAAACAGCACGAATATCGGTTTGATAACAGCTTCGATACATAGCATAAAATGCAAAACCTTGGCATAAATATCAATAAAATTGCAATAGTCGCGAGCATTTGCAATTTCTTGCTTCGATTCTTATTTCGAATAAATAGAACACTCGAAACATTAAATTTGTTTCGACAAATTGTCTCGAAAATAATGGAATACGTTTACAAGTCATTAACCGTTAAGAATTATCTAGATAAGCGGACTGATAATTGCTAATTATAAAATAATTGCGCATCGAAAATTATACACTCTCCAGCTTACAACTAAATTATTTTATCGTATAAAATACTATAGTACCTTTTTTTATTAAGAAGTTGAATATTAATTTTTAATGTTTTAACACACTCTTTTGTACTCTTGTATAGATTAAATATAAATATTTGTAATGCATTAGGTTAACAGTTTTCTTATATTATTATCATTCTTATATAAATTGCCTAAGAAAATATGTCAAGTTTATAAAAAAGGCGCCAAGAAAAGTTTTCTTTTCAAAAGAAGAAGGTTGCGTTGTTATTCGAAAGATGTTAAATGAATTAGTGTAATGTGTATTTTATTACATTTATACGTCTATATTTTTATTAAATAAATTATGCGGAATATCTAATATATATGTATATATTTTATACGTATAAGTTACTCACCTTGATGTCGTCCGATATCTTCTACATGTTTTCCTCTTTTTAGATCGTCAGTATTTGTTGGACTTACATGTTACTCACAAAAACGCGATTAATTACGATCGCGCGCAAATTAATTATTTATACTCTACGAAGCTCTTCGGATATTTCATACTTCTGAGAACCTCTTATGATACTTCTGAGAAGTTTGAAGTTAATTTAGCTCTAATATATCTCTCGCAAACGCGATTCTGTAAAGGTGGACATTGCGTATACAATGTATCGAATGCGTTTACCACGTATGAGTTATGTGGCTAGTTTATGAAAGTAATTACAGCTCACAGATATTACGACAATATATCATTCTCTATCATTTCAATTTTTATATCAAATAAATCGCGTGACATATGTACGCGTGACATGGATACATATGTATCTACTTCAACAAATGTTTGCCTCAATATGCTTAATTGTGAATCCTAAATTTCAATTACGTAAATTAATCATTGCAATAACCGTAAGCTATAATAACGTTTAATATTTTTGGTACTAATCACTGTCGCGTCTCAAAAAGTAATACGATGATACACGAAAGAGCACGTACCGCACCACGACTTCGCTGCTCGAATGTCAATGCGCCGCGGAAGAACGGAAACGCGGCGACTTTGTATATGTTAAGGGCTTTGCACACTGCCAGGCAACAGACAATAGAAACAGGGAATAGGAACAAGAGTTCCAACGCGTTGAATTTTTATTCTCTATTGCTTGTACCTGATCAATCACAGTGATTTAATTTTATATGGCGCTTTTAATGATTGATCAGGTACAAGCAATAGAGAATAAAAATCCAACGTGTCGGAAATTCTGTTTCTATTCCCTGTTTCTATTGCCTGTTGCCTGGCATTGTGCAAGGGCCTTAACGGCCCGCCGTACACCGCAACAACCACCAGAGCCACGTGCCAACCGATTCTCCGAAAGAGACGCGGTAGCGTTCCTCGCCAATATATTTTTCATACATGCTTTCACACGAGACTCTATGTATTTTATTTCTCCAACTCTCCGAAATATTTTATACCTCCAAAATGCTTTATTAAAAATGTTTTATTAAAATATTTATTTCAAATATGCTAGTCCTTGCATTTGAAATTAATTGTAACGTTATAACACATATTGCATTTATTATTTATTTGAAGAATAAAATCCATTTTATTCAATCATTCTAATATAAAAATTAAATTTTGTATACAATTTGTATTTTTATTTGACGCAAATTTTTAAAATTATAATCACGTATATATAAAAAACGGAGTTAAATAATCTAAAATTAATAATATAAAATATTCTTTATAATACAATATAAAATTATTAATATAAAATATTCTTTAAACACTTAAATATTTTTTACTTAAAACTAGTTATTATTTTATTTTATGTCAACATTATTAAGTTATAAGTTACACAATACACATTACAAAAGCATTATTGGTAAAGTGTTAAAAGACAAAGACATGTCAGGATTTGCACTTGCTTTGTAAGTTACAATCCATTATGGCATTATAAAGCAACTGATAATAGATCTAAGTGGACTACATAGAGCACAGTCAAACACAAGTAGTGCAAACAGTTTGTAGTCAGACAGTAGTCACATTTCATACATGGGCTATCTAGAACGCGAGTGTTTAAATCGGTTTCCTCAAATACAGCACAGTACAATACAATCGTATAATTGATATGAATTATATGTTGGTAATATACATAAATATAATTTATATTTATATAAATAATGCAAATAAACGAAAGCAAGATGCATAGCTGTAATAATGTCTACATTATCAGTTTAATGCAAAAAGCCGATGCAGAGTGTTATAAATGCTTTCCGAAGGATACAATTAAACTAGATATCTAGGCTTCAAATTGTGGTATCAACAATATAATTATTGTAATATGATACAACAGATATATTGCATGCTGCTATAGTATTACCACTAGATAACACAAAATGCTATAAAATCTTAAATATAACATTTTAGATTCGCTGTATATTATCTCATCAATTAATTAATGCCGTAAAAAGTAATTTATATTAATTTTTATTAATGTCTACAAGCATTCTGCGTTTAAGAAATATTGAAACTCTTGATATATAATGTAAAGAATTATTAATATATCTTAAAAAAATGTTACTTGTCAAGAGTTATTAAATCAGATTTCTGTAAAATAGTCTTTTAAAAAAATGTTCGCTTCTTTCTATCACAAAAACTATATCATATATATATCAAAACTATGGCATATATCAATGCCTACGTACCGCACATTTATAAACTATTCACGATATCGCCGAGGAAGCGACAAACGGCGCAATTTCATATACCGCGGTATAGCCGAGCGATCGCAAGCGCGATATCAAAATAGCGGAGTAGTAATTGAACGATGCCAGATACACGATCTGATCTTGCTGGATCTCTTCCGTCATAACGCGGCAGACACCAACACGTGTACGAATCGGTCGCACGCGCGTTTTACGGCGCTCGATGTAAACGACGTCAGTCGTAATCCCAGATGGCCGCGCGAGTGTTTGGGATATTACCCGCGCCGCCCGTAACACGCCGTGTAATTGCGCTACGGGAGTTTTCATTTCGTGTTGCATACACAGATATAACAGTTTTCTTCCGTTCCGATCTCTTGCGCGCGGTTTGCGGTTATTAAAGCGGAGAAACTTGTTTTACTCTATTACCCAAGAGATTTTAATTATTGCGAATTTTTAATCGATTATCTTATCTTCTAATGATCATTTGTGCCCTGCAAAATTTAGATCAGTGATAAGCTTGACGTTGAAAAATTCCACGGATTATTAAATACAATGCTGCAAAACTGCACAACGTATCTATAATTGAATCCTTTTTTACTTGCACATCTCGGTTGCTATCTTGAAGATAAATGTCAACTGATGTAACAAGGTACATACCTTAATAGAATAGCTGGTCGAGAAAAGTATGGTTAGATAAGAATATGTTTTTATCGTGAATTTAATTTCTGGAACTGAATTAACAAAATTACTGTTATTTTGTACAATATTTATGTAAGAAACACCAAGATATATTATTTAATACTTCAGTTTTTTATATTCAGTTTTTATCTTTAGTATATATATCTAAATAGAAAAAGAATTTATCTAATAATACACTGTTGTACTGTCAAATTATACTCAATTTGAGTCATTTTTAATCATTCCTATAAGTCGCTTGGTGACCAACTGGTGACCAACCTAGGTACCTACTATGTCGTTAATTTAGCTGAAACAATGTTACTTTAACTAAACCAATAGAATTTAAAATAATATTGTTTTGTGTTAAAATAATAAATTTCAACACGCATAATTGTTAAAAATAACAAAGTGTTATTTAACTCAAGGTATTAGTTTAAATTTCATCTTTTAATTTAACAGTGTATATTTATTACAATTACTTTCTCTAGTTCTGTCATTAATCTAACTTCAAGATAAATTCGCAAACTTACATATAATAATATAAATAAATATGTAATAGCTTTACTAATTATTTATTATAGAGTGGAATTAATTTCTGAGTTATATCTATATCTATAATTTAAAAAGTGGATTATAGATAATGTGGATTGAGAAAAACAAAGTCAAACCTAAAAACAATATTTTTATCACGAAACCATGGATGACAAAAGATTTGGAAAAATCAGAATTTTCGAGGTCAAAGATTGTATCAAAATATATAAAATTGTATTGTCAATATTCCAGTTTAAACAGTTTGAAATATCTTGCCGATTCTCAAAGACCTTGGTTTGAAAGGTAACGTCACAATCAGAATTATATTAATTTATTCTAAATTACTTTATTTACAGTACAGTTAGTGTGTGGATGTAGGAATGGATGTAGGAATATCTAAATATATGTAAAATTTGAAAATTTATATTAATTTTATTAAACAAATTTAAATCACCAAAGACTGTTCTTTAATTTTTAAGTAATTAATATGTAAAATATACGTTGCACACGTTTCTATTTTAATTTAAAAAATACTTGCGAGCAATTACGTTAATCGGTATAATTGAATTATTTACTTTAAGTATTCTGTAAGTTAAAATAAAAATTTAAAATGCTTTCTTTCCGAAACAGATTTGGCTCTTTTCAACTATTGTCTTAATTAACATTAATAAGTTTTAATCTTGTGTTATACATATAATAGGTATTTTATAGGTATTAGTATATGTATAAAACGATAAGAAGGAAAGAAGAAGAATTATCATATTTACGAATTATGCAATACTTTTAAATTGAATGTTACTTTTCAAATTAAATTATTTGAATATTACTCACTCTTTTAACGACGTAAACTCGCGCTCCAAAGCCAGTTCGCGTAATGCGATTATCGGGTGTTTATTAAAGCAATGATAAAAGCAATTTTCGCAGAGACTATACACGCTAGACGTTACAGATTCATACATTATATCAGCTTGCACATAAACAGAATGTATGATTAAAGTTATACAGTTTAATGAGCGCATTCTAATTTTTCGCGAGATTAACGGTACCGCGGTGAGTAGAGATTCTTGAATTCATAGCGGGCCGCACAAATCAAGTCATCCACAAATCACGAAACAAACGCGACGCGCTTCGAAAAAAGAAAGGAAAAGAAAAAAAAAACATAATTCCACAAAATGCCGGAGTCACGTCGCGATACGGCGTTGCAAGTTGATTTAATGTAACGTTACGCGTGACGTTAATTGCGCCGTGCGAATTCGGTAATGGACGCGTTATGATACGAACAGGAACAAATTATTGCTCGATGTCGCTTAATTCGTTTATATTTTAAATATTTTTGCTCATATCTCAGATGTTGCTGCCTTTAAACTTTTAAAAGTAAATAAAATAAGTGAATAAAGTAACCTGTTGCCATTTTAATCGTGAAATATCATGACCAAATATCATAATGTTATTTTTGCACTTGTTTATGTAATGAAATACATCTTTCAGAATTTTCTGGGTTATAATACATTTCCTAATTATATCTGTTCTGGTGTTTATGGTTTATTCTTTATATAAAGAATTTATGACAACACCTTTAATAACTTCCATGGAAACAGATAGTTACAGAACGACAACTTTGAACTTTCCAGGTATGGAGATTAAGCTATTTTCCAAGCTATTTCCCTTGCATGTATGCACGCAATTTATTTATAAAGATTTATTTGGTTTTTGATAGTAGCATAAAACAGTTTATTTCTATATATACCTGTTTTGTAGTTCATAAAACTTTCGTGATATGTATTTCACATCAGAATTATTTATCTTCTGACAGATAAATAGTTTCCTAGGAAAGATAGAGTCAATCATACAATTACGAAAATATATTCATATAAAGATTTCTATTATATTAAAAATTAGATTAAAAAGTAGAATTACAAAATACAAAAAATACAAAAGATATAATAAATAACTAAATGAAATATATCTATTTAATAAAAGAATGAAATAAACCATTGGCAATTAAAGACAATAAAAATATGAATTTTTATCCGCGCGCGCTCTGTCCTTTTTACGTTTTTAATATTTAAATATCTTCTCTTTTTTAAAACATGTTTTATTTTTTATTCTTGCTGTCATACACATATGCACTATATGTATAATATGAAAATTTAGAATATCACAATAATATTTTATTTAATAAACATAAAGAATTTTCGCATTTTACAGTAATATTCTCTTTTTCTAAATTTTTTCATTTTATTACATTGATCAAAAGCCTCGATAATTTTCAGGAATCTCCATTTGCTCTATTAACAGGATAAGTCGACAATCCGCGACGGAACTGGCGACCGACATGTGAGCGAAATTTATTAAATAAACGCAAACTCTGTATTCACGTATATTAAACGAATACATTCGCGTGTGCACGAACGATGGCGAGGTACTGATGCACACGCAAGTCCACTTCAGCATTTTGAATACGTGTGGATATGATTTCGCCATTTCGCATCAAATTCTATAGATTGCACAATCGATCGGGATCACTCGAAGTTCAGTTTCGCTGGCTGTTTAACGCATATTATTCCGCGAATTTTTTCTGGGCGTGTTAAAACGGTCACCACATTTGCCAGCACGAATCGCAAATATCTATCCGCAAATATCCTCTATCGCCGGCTTGATCGCATGATTTATCTCTAGATTATGTTGGTAATAAAGTGGCAGCGCAAATATTTGATAATGTCGACGATGCTAATATTATGCATCATCATTAATTTATCTAAATTTCCAATATCTATACTGGGTTCTTCGAATCTTCTCATGTAACTTGTTGAAAAAATAATAACAGTGGCATTAAAGATGCTTTAGAAACTTTTTGTTATTTAAGTCAGTTAAATGTTATTAATTGATGGCGAGTATTAATTATAAGATAATGTTGGAAATGGTCGAGAGTGTCAAAATATTTGGTATTTCAATAATATATTTAGTTTAATTAAAATATTTGTAATCATATAAAAAAGATTAACGTTGCAACAATATATAGGCATTTGATGAATGTATTTTAAACAAATGTAGAGATCATATAGGTGTGTGACAAATGATACGTATCTGGTATCTATAGTTGATAGATGTAAACCTGTGATTGAAGATAGGTACTAACCATAGTGGTATTCCTATCGACCAGAGGATAGAGTTAACTCGCCACAATTGATACGATGTATACGCGAAGTTTAATCGACCGTTCAACGCATTGGATCCTACTTCGCTTTTTACGACGTTCGGAATCAACTGGCATTCACCGATTATCATTAATTCGGTATCGCGCAGCACTTTCTTCGAATGCAACGAGAACGGATCGATGCATTGCGCATTGATGGAGAGCGTAGAATCAGTGGTTACGGCTCATTTAATAGAGTGTTAATATCCTCAAATCCAGCCGCTTCGCGCGATGCTACCTCGTATAGCCACTCGTGAACTTTTGGTATCCGTTAATGGAAGAGACGTTTCCGGAATTGTTGATTCGAAACAGGAATCTGCGAAGTTTCTGTCCCGCTTGCGCATCGATTATTGACATTATAATTTTTTTAACGAGCTCTAATATCGTGAGGAGATATTGATTACAAATATTTTAATTAAAGTAGATATATTATTGAAATACCAAATATTTTAACACTTTCGACCATTTCCAACATTATCTTATACGCAGTTTTACAGATAAATTTCTTATATTATTTTAAATTAAACTAATTCCTCGCTTTGTTTTTATTTCTTATTTTGATGTTAAACAATTAAATATAAAAAGATTTAGATAAAATACGAATAACTATCCCAGATTTGATGATAATTTGAAAGTTTTATTTTATTTTATTCTATTTTATTCTATTTTAAAAATAAAGAGCTAATAGGAAAATGTCTTATGTCTATTGTATTATAACAAAAGGTATGCATGGTACTATTAAAGTTATTACTTATATGAGAGAGATTATTTATTTATTATGAGCAAATAAATGCACTGGAGTACTTATACATTCATCTATATATAAAAGACACACCTAGATTATTACGTATAGATTAAATATATCTTTGAGAAATGTGAATGTTATAATATAATATTAAATATATGCTGTATATATGAAGCCTTTAATTAAAATATTTATAAAATTTTTCTTGAAACCAGTTTTAACGCAAATATTACGGACCAATCAGTCGACGAAATTCACAACTTGGTCATGCAGTTGGGCAATCTCTACTCTTCCACTTTTCGTATGAATGCAAGTCTTGATATCGAAATAGATCAGCTTTTGATGGCTTATTACAAGGGGCCTTACGATGTTACGGAATTAATGAAAAATGTATGTATGCAAACTCAACCAACGTCAAGTTTCAATCACGTTTCAAATATAGATAATACACTAGAGTTTTACTTACAACAACACTTTTATTAGACTTTTCGTATATATTTATGTATATATAAAATCTTTCTAATTATGTAGTAGATTATGTAATTATGTTAGATATACATACGTTTAAAGAATAATGAAACATCATCGATGAATCACCATCATAGTTGATTTTTGAAGTAAGCCTTTACATAGCTACAGTCAGATAGAGGTTTCTGTTTTTTTTTTACATTCTCATTTTCTTTTTCTTTTAATTTTACCTCATATCCTATCAAATTAGATAACTGATAATTAAAAATTGCTTAAATTTTATTGTTAAATAGTATAATAATGGGAGTTTAAATCCAAGCTTCTCTAATTTAAAATGCAAATTTCTTGAAAAGCATGATCTCGTTATTACTACCCCAATTTTTTGCGAGCGCTCCCTGCATAAATTTATCTCCCTAACTTTCAGTTCTCTGATAATTCTAGCAAACAGAAATCATTTATGTGAGCAACGCTTACTTTTCCCCTGATGTAGATGCATTAAACGAAAGGTTTCCTCTCCGACGATCAATTAAAATATTATTCGCACGATACTTCGCGTGTCGACCGTCGTTGTTACCGTTCAGGAAATTATCGGCAATTTACGGCAACACGTCCCGCGTATATTTGCATTTTCCAGCTGACGCCGCAATGTTCGATGATACTATTGAAATGTAAGCTGCATGGGACCTTTAGAAACTGTTCGAACCTTTTTGAGTTTCGCAAGACGCAAGACGGATACTGTTGCACCTTCAATTACGCGCGTGAAAGCGACGACATTCTCGAGTGAGTATCCCGTGCTTTCACTCAAAATGTATTTCCGAGAAGCATACACAGTAGTTTAACCGCTTACTCGACAGTGGTATGTTTTAGTATGGTCAAACGAAGCATATTCCCTAAGCTTATAATTATATGTACGATATAAAGTTGTTTTAGCATTTGTTTTATAGTACTTATTGGCTAGCTGCGTTCGCTTTGGACGCTTTCGTGCTGAAAGCATCACTCCATCCTTTTTTAACATTTAATAAGCAATAAAGATGGACTGACGCTTTCAGCACGAAAGCGCCCAAAGTGAGCGCCAAGGTGAGCGCAGTCATTATTGTAGTCTGACGAGAAGAAAAAAACAAAATTAATAAATTATTATTATTCTTTTAAGTAGTTACTTTAAATATAGTTTGTAATCGTATACCTGAAAGTGGTCAAATTGATAAGAATTGAATTTATAAACAAGCTATATTGCTTTCAATAAATTGCCCATAATGTTTGTCGATTAGATCGCAGTTTGTCAATTATATCGCAGAAAAATATTGCCATTTACTTTAAATTCTCTTTGTACACGCGACACATTATAAAGATTAACTACTGCGACCTGGAAAAGTCATCTAGAATAATTCATGTGTTCTATTGATCATTTACATATTATTTTTTACTTAGCAAAGAGCTTATTTAAATCAATAAGACACACGCAAGTTCTATTTTCCATTTATATTAATAACGTGTTTAAGTATTTAATCAAAATAATCGATAATAAATACCGAATAATGCCAAATGTCAGTCAGCTTAAAGCAAAATAATCGATAATAAATACCGAATAATGCCAAATGTCAGTCAGCTTAAAGCATCGTGAGAGAAGAGAATGTGGGTTATTCAGTTTGAAAATCTGATGTTATGTTAATACGTTAAATGCGTTCAAAAAATTAATGACAGCAATTATGTATATCTTGACAGATTGCCCGATGTGATTGAGTCGATTCCTGTGCACCATGTGGATGATCTCGGAATAGAACGCGGTCTAACGGTCGTAATGGATCCACTTTTGGATGATTATTTCTACTCAATATTGCCCATTGTGGGTTGGAAGGCAAGTAGAAACGGCATCGCGTGCTATTTAATAAGTCGGGAAAACAAAAACACAGTAATATCTAATATCCCCACATTCTCAGAGAACAATTTCATTTCGGGGCCAAAATTACATCTGCCATTAAGGAAAACTTATTTATCGTTCATGCAAAATTAAAATCTGGAAAATTCTTCTTTTTTTTAATTAACCAAAAAACAGCTTTGTTTAACCTAGATTCTGAGAAACTTGATAATGCATAAAATTACATAGAGTGTCCCTAGAATGTTTTGCTTAACTTCGTCAGCGTGTCTTGCTTATCAAGGTAATGATAAAAGTTTGAATGAATGTAAAGAACTTCTGTTATTTAGAATAGTTGTAAGAAGGAAATTGCGTATTCAAGAGAATTTCAGGAAAATAATTAATAGCCTTAATTAAATTATAGGAACTTAATTTAATTCTGTGAAACGTTAGATATGTTAAGTGCAGCTATATATGTAGAACAGATTTCTTTAGTTGCGTCAATGATTGTAAAATCGCGATAAATGTTTATAAAAAGTAATCGATACGTTCTGCAAATTTTCTTATTTCGTCGAAATAAAGAAAGAATACGTCGCGGTAAGAATTTTTCGCTTTCCGGTACGTAAAATTCTAATCTAACGTATAATTTAGAAAACGCCTTGCATGAGAATTGCCTGGAAATATCTTCGTCTCGCGAAAACGGGTCATATTCGACTCGTAACGAGTTGTTACCACGAGTGCTGAATATGAAAAGGGGCTAATCGAGCGAAATGAAGATTTATTCGCGTAATGCTTTATCATGCTAACGTAGCGTTAACGTTCGATTTTATAGTGCGAAGTATCACGAAATATATATATCCGACTTTTAAATACATTTAACACATATAGATAATTAGGAAATTATACCTCATTGGTTATCATTGATGATGAATGTTTAACTTAATTAGTTAATTAGTTTCAAACACATCAAACGCATCAAACAAGATTATTACATTTATTATAAAATAATGCATTATTGTTATATCTATTAATTTTCAGAAACAAATAAAAGTTTTAATTTTTTTTACAAAATATTAAGCAAAATGTATGTAAAATTTTAATTTTACGATTTAAGTTATAAATTGAAAGTAAAGTCTTAAAAAATTGCACAAGACATAAAGGAACTTGAAATTAACTTCTCGGGAAAATTTTCATAAAGAGTAATGATTTTTGTATTAGAAAAGAGATCAATTGTTGAAACTATGATATTTCCACCAGTTAAATTTTTTAGTAAAATTAAATTCAATTGTGGAAAGATAACATTTATTCTCTATAAGGTTCAGAGTACGGTTCTTTTAGAGGATAACGTAGTAAGCATTGTTATATTGAGATTAATATATTTAATTACAATATTTTAATACTATTATTAAAATATAAATAATACTTTCAGCATATACATAAAACTGATTTAAAAAATGTAACGAGTGAAGAATCTGACCTCAAATATTATTCACAGCATAAACGTAAATCTTCCAATCTTATTTTTTGATAAGTTAATTTCTTAATTATTTCCTAAGTATATCAATGCGAGCTCTGGTAATTATTTGAATTAATTAAAAAATACAGTTTTATATAAAATATATTTCAACTATATCGTACACACATCAAATCTATCGTCGTGATGAAGGTAATCGGTAGCTGCCTCCTGCCGTGAACTTTTTCCACGCTTACCGTGCCATTACAGGCCACCTGTGCTTCATTCGCTCATAGTGCACGGTGATAAAAAAGCTCGTGAAAGTCATTAGCGGTGCGATATAATCGCGCGTTACCTTCACTTCGCTATATTTGCAGCGTAGTGTGTACTTTAGGCTGTAGCAGCACTTACGGAGAACCCGCATTCGGGCAAAAAAACGTCCTGGAAGATTCTATTCTTTTGTCGAGATACTTTTTGTCGTATACTTTCAGATACAAGATTAACCAAACTTTTTAAATAAACGTTGTAGAATAAGCGTAATTATTATATATTTATAAATCTTTAAAAAGTTTTCCAAAATTGTTTGTTACTAATTTTAATTTCATATTAAACAGACAGTTGTTATATAAGATTCGAGCATTTGTTTGTTAAAGCTGAAAGTATGTCTTAAGTTATTAAATCAATTATATGATTATTGATTTATTAATTATTATTTAATTATTATAATATATTATAGTTTAACAGTATTACCTTGTATGTACGTCCATATTTATAAAAAGGCTTGTGTTTAATATTTTTTGTTTGCTAATTTGTTATTTCTTTCATTACTTTCGCTGAGAAAAATTAACTCCCAAATTTATCAAGAAATCTTTATCATCGAAATACTTTTTAAAATACATATGCTGTAAATACTTTTTAAAATACATATGCTGTAAAAATTTTAATAATATAAAAATGTCCGAAATCTCTTTACTTTACAACAACAAAGATTAGCTGTTCTATGGTTTTTATATAAATAAGGAATTAATTCATATATCAAAATGAATTTTTCGATGGGAGTCGATTTTATTCCTGTTTTTTGACAAAACATCGTGATGTTTTATCTTGATTTATAAAAATATAGCAAATATAATACAGAGCATAGTTGCAATATGGTATTCCAGGTAAATGTCAGCTGCGTTGTAATTAACTTGTGGAAACAGACTAGCGCATTACACAAATTACGATGTCCCTTTTTGCAGCGCAGCGTAAAAAAAAAACATGTATTACATGCAACGCTACAAAAACCGTGTGAGTCTCGGATGAACTCGAGTCAAGCAAAAAAATATTTTGCATACGATGTTTACATCAACAGCAAATGTTTTATAAATTATATTCATATTGATTCGAGCGTTCAAATGCAATTCGACTAGTCAAGTTGAATAATATCGAAACAAATATTATGTACAAAACAAGATATTTTTAAACATTTTATTGTTGAATACTATACAAAAATGATTCATGCTCCTTATAATCCCCTATTTTGATGGTAACGACTTTCTTTAATTATCAATTTTATTATACATTTCTTTATAAAACACATATTGTCTTTTTAACAAACGTGTTTAGCTTTAATTAATCAATGCGTAAAAACAATTTATTCTATAAATTTAATTTCATTAATTTAATTAAATTTATAGAAGTCTAAAAGAAGCAACGAGAGAGAGAGAGAGAGAGAGAGAGAGAGAGAGAGAGAGAGAGAGAG